AAATTCCCTAGTTCGCTGTTTTTTCGGAAGTTGCCATCATAACCGAGAGAGGCCCGATGACGGTATTGAAGACAGCACATTCGTGACATGGAATGTCGTGCCATGTCTTTTTAACCCCAAGCAATTAAAATTTCTGGCGGTTAATCGATGTCACTGTGCATCATCCCTCTCATGTCCAATGTCAAGCGTATAACCATAAGCGCTCTTGCCATAAGACAGCATTTTATTCACATGAAATAATCAAAAACATGGAGGCATGAGTAAGATCTTTTGCAAAGGAATTCGACTCACTTTTCGATGGGATGTGTTTTCTTTCATGCTTCAAAACTAATGTAGTATTCACATCGCTGTTCTATAGGCCCTTTTCCTAATACCCATGCACGAGCGAGCGTCATGACTGAGCAAACCACTGTAGTACCTGCTCATAATTGGGCACTGTCCTCAAATCTTTTCCAACCGCTGAGATGGAAACCGGCTTTGAAATGGCCCGCCGCGCTATTTTCATCAAATCCTCGGCCTTGACCTCGTCAATCTTGCGACACAAGGCCTCAGGAGCCTCGCGATGCCCGTACGTGATCATCTGCCGGCCAATGTCTTCGAAGAGAATGATTCGAGATTCAAGCTGTGTCAAGACATTGCACTTCAGCATGTTCCTCGCCCGGGACAATTCTACAGGATCAACCGGCGTCAAGGCGAGTTTGCAGATTTGCGCACAGAATTCGTGCATGAGCTGACCGGCACGAGCGGCCTCGCAGGCACCTGCAATCCCCAGGACCCCCGTCTCATTATGAAGGTTCACAAAGGCCTCGGCTCCCTCTACCCAGTAGTACCGATTCAAAAGTTCCCTATATAACCGTGAGTACATGCCTTTCCCAGGCCCGCCTGCGGAGAAAGAGTCCCCACCACCCAGGAGGATTTGCATCACGCACATGGCTACCAGGTCCTTGTCATGCCATCCCGCCACCTCGAAGCCCACGGCCACGCGAGTAAATGGGTCTATGCTGTCAGGCTGCTCAATCCGCTTCTCGCCCCCCTGATAAAGGGCCCGTGCGCGCTTGTGAGCGCCTTCTCCTGCCGGCAAGCGCCCGAAATGCTTTTTCGCAAGGTCAACAAATGCTTCGTGCTCCACACCCGCCGCGGCCAGCACCATGCTCCTCGCCGTAAAATGCCGCGTCTGGAATGCCTTGAGTCCCTCGGCGCTGAGCCTAAGGAGATATTGGAGCAACACTGTGAGCTGTACTTCTGTCGTGTATCGCCACCCCACACTCAGCTTCTCCCCAATCCCCACGTCCGCCAACTTACCTCGGCAGAGTCTCAGGCGTCACGAAGTGCGGCCTACCCAGCGCCTGTCCAGGGTACGCCGCCTCTTGTATGGCCTCCTTGACCAGGAGCTCGGGCGCTATGCTGTCCAAATGAAGGCCTACGATAGTCTTGGATTCTTCGATATCCTGCGCGTCTGAGGGGGTACCAAGGAAAGCCAGAAGGATCAAAAACAGGAAACGAAATGAGTGCTTTCTTTATGCAGCGTAGGTTTCCTTGAACATGAATTCTCGCCCACGCCCGTCGTAACTCCAATGCCCTCTACTTCCGTGTCGTGACCCACCTATTTTCGGATTGAGAACTGCGTCCCCGAAGATCTCAAGAGCCTCGGGAAGGGAGTTCCGCAACACGTCGATGGATAGAAGCATCTGTTCACGCGAGGAGTTGGCCGTGGGAATCGCACCCAGGTCGTCCAAAGCGCTGACTACTTCCTTGTGGCTCCTCTTCTCCGTGCCCCGGAAAGCCGTGGCCTCGAACAGGTGGCACACGCCGTCCTCCCGCCCTGCCAATTCGTCGCGGCTGCCTGCATCTACCACCACACCGAAAGTGCAGAGCTGTATCGCAAGCGGGAATCACCGAATTAAACAAGGAATTGACTCATCGATATCATTGCCACCACGACATGTGTGAGGATCAAGTGTGCCAGACCGGACGCCATGGGCACCGTTTTATATTTTTTCTCAAGAACGATAAACATGTCAGGATATTTCAAAGTAACTCACCGCGCCGTATGTCTCTTGCGTGGCAACTCGTAAACCGTTGTCCAGCGTGGTGATTTTTGTGACGGGTGCTTGCAATTCGCTCAAGGGCTTCGTGGGAGGCACGTCTATACTTGAATGAATTACAGTGCGTGAGGAGAGGCTTGCTGTCGGACGCAGCGAGAAATTGGACCTACCTGACGGGACAGTATCCATGCCAAAACGAGCAAGCCGTTTTTCGATGGATTTCAGGTCCTTTTTGAGGGTCTTAGAGACTGTTGACCGGCTTGTCGTGACGCTGGGCGCAAGCAGAGCCTACGGGAAAAGTATCGAGGCGAGAGGAGCAGAACGTATCAGCGCTTCCACCCAGGGTTCCTACGATAGTAGCGTGCAAGTTACCTCGTTAAGATTACTCATAGGACCGGTCGCATGATTGAAATGGCGGTGTAAAATGGAGGAGCTCGAAGCAACGTGTCTCTGAACAGGCCGGGCTGAAGTGAAATACGAACGTGGTATTCTCTGGAAGATACCGCAAATTTGCGACATGATAAATGCAAATTGCTACCAGCCTTATCTGTGTGATATAAGCAAGACAGTGAGGTAAAATCTAGAGGACCGTTCAATGTGAGCATGGCTTGGGTTGCTATCTTCCTTTTCCTTCCTGTGTCCGGAGGTTTTGTCCGCGACCTCCGAGGTCCGCCTCGCCATCCGTGAGGAGCTCCTCTTCACCTTGAGCATCCAGGCATGCCCACGACTTAAAAGTAAATCTCACCGCATTGACTCGGAACACCGGGACACACATGCAGTGCTCGTACAAGGCCCGGACATGGAAGACCGCACTTTGATTCCTGTCAGGTAAGCAGGAGCTTCCTGAGGTATGCTGACTGCACATAAACATGCTCCGGCATGTGGCAGCCGAAGCGCTATGTTAATTTCTACCAGTTCCTGACACGACGTTTTGTCCACCCGAGAGCAGGACGATCTTCACGATAGAAGAGCTACTAGAAGCAGAAGATGCGGAGCTGTGGCTTTTTCGCACGCCGCTCGACGTAAGTAAACCGCCCGGTCTGATAAACCTCCTCGCTTTCCTTCATTGCCTTATTCCATTTTGTGATTTTTTACGAAAACCCATCACAGTTCAACGCAGAATATCTTGTCAAAAGCAAACTTAAGATTGATGAGGACGCGGTGATAGGCTCTGTTTTACGTGCCATAAAAGAGGATGGAGAAGTGGACGGACACTCCGGAACCGGAGACGTCCTAGCCGACAGTCTATCTAGAGAATTAGGGCCAAGCTACGAGGTGCTATTGGGCGATCCTGCTGAAAGCAAAGCATACCGCGTACTTTTGCAGGCAGGAGAGGATGACCCGGGTGTGCTGAAGATAGCGCCACCCTTCACTCGCCACATAGTTGTAGCCCAGCGCCCTTTTGAAGCTGGACATCTCTCCTCTCCTGGCCCTTCTACTCCACCTTCCGAGGGGAACGAAGACTTGCAGTCAGACACAGAGCTCGCTTTAAAAAGAAAAGCTAGGCACGATATTGCTCGCATGGTTGTTCCCTACTCGCATGTGCCGCAGGTAGAGGGTTTGCAGGTGCGGTTTAAGCCTTTGGGAGCGGGGAGTGTCCCCCCACCCCCCTTGTGGTCGAAAGAGGGCGAGGGTGAAGAGAAAAGAGGGAAGAGCAGAGGCTCGCCTTATTTAGGACGGGACCGAAAGGCAGGGCTCACCAAGCAAGAGGTGGAGGGCGGGGCAGTTTGCGGGAAGAGAGGTCTAGAGGAGGTGGAACGTGGCGAGATTAGAGTCTCGTCTAAAGAGAAGAGACAGAAAAGCCGGAAGGAATCATCCAAGCGCCGAATTGTATAGTTACAGTAATCGTTTGAAGATGGTATAGCTGACAAAAGTCATCAAGCAACGCCGTGAAAAGGCTTGAAAAGTCCACCTCCCCGGGTGCATGCTGAGTCGTTCTCTTTTCTAATTCCTTTGCCGTTGTGGCCTATCACGCCGACTGACAGACCTGTACTGGTACGAGGCATGCGTGCCCCCTCAAGGCAGCGAGTCGAGCATGTCTTGGTAGCGACCCGCGTGGTCGGGGTCAAGGGCGGGGAGCCTCTTCAGCAACTTCTGACTCTCAGCCCGCAAAGATGCCTCCTCGCTCTTTCCTTCCTTCCTGCGCGCCAGCTTTCCCAACAAATCTGCCAGTGTAAGCACCGCCCATCGATAGCCCCCCCCCTCCGCCTCCCCCTCCTCTACCAGTTCCCGTAAAACCTTGACTTCCTTCTCGAGTACTCTTTGAGCGAACGAGACACCCCGCGGCGTTAATTCCTGGTCGCCCCGCTCCCCGAGCTCTTTCTCCCGCTCTGTATCCCATGCCAATGCCAGGGAGATCAAATGCTGGTGGTACCACCAGGCGGTCTGGTCGTCCGGCTCCGTGAACACGGCTTGTTGCACCATGTCCAGCTCCCTCTCCAGGAAGGAAGGGGGATCTAAATTTGGATGTGCTTCACGCAAGTAGTCCCAAAAATATGATGCACGGTGGTGAAAAGCTGAGTAATTGCTGGGGTGGAAAAAAAGAGAAGAGGCCGGTCAGGGATGACAGAACATCGAAGCAATGTCTCAAGAGGAAAAGCTGCAGACGTGCTCAGCCAAACCGGTATCCGCGTTCACGATATCTGACTAGAGGCGAGACGTTTGGCATATAAAGGTGCACAAGGCATGTACCTGAAATTTTTCAGAATCCGCGAGGTAGAGAACTCGAACTCATCTCGCGGGGTCCGTGCCGGGTGCTTGCTGACCACCCACCGCCGATAACTCCAGCAATGGAAGTTGCGCTCGTCCAGATCGAGTAGCTTGGCACAGAGAAAGAGTTCTTGGTCAAGGACAGGCTTGAGTTGGCGCGACAAGGCGGGTAGAGGAGCCACAGGACTGGAAGGATTGGGTGGGGCTGCGGAGGGGCTAAGCGAGAAGGCATGATCCAAGAGCCAGCGGCGATGGTGCCAGGCACCATATGACTTTGGATTCTTGCGAATACAATCGATCACTAGATCGAGTTCCGTTTGTAAAAATGACCCCGGGGGTAGAGGCGCTTTGCCTCCCTCCCTTTCGCTTTCACACTCTTCTTTCTCTGTCTCTCCACCCTCTGCCTCTTGCCGAAGGACCCCAGATGCCACGATCATCTCTTTCCGGTGATTCCATAACGTGTATACGTCTGGATTTATTCTGAGCAACTGTGATGACAATACCAAGTCGTTATCCAGGGCCTCTCCGGTTACCAACGCCTCCTTACAATGTCTCATTTCCTGTCGCTGCTGCAAGGCCAGCTCCATAAGTTGTTTGTACTTGAATACTTTGTTTTTCGCAGCTTCTTTTTCGGCCTGGCTCCGCGCCAGGTGTGTTCTTTGATATTCGTCTTTACGTCGGCCATGCATGATAGCCTGTGAATGTATGATAGAATGTCAAACAGACTAGGACAAAGGGGTACGGCGGGGGCGAAAGGGAGACGGCATGATGTAAGTCGTTAAAAAGCCCAGGCGAGCAAGCACGAGCAATGTGGAAACCCGCTCCATAAATACTGCATAGGGCTGTGATGCTACAGTCAACACACACGCGTCCGAGAAAAGGGAGAGCTTTGGCTGACTCGTGTGCTAGAAATTTAGATGGCACGCGAACGTTCAAACAGATAGGCCTCCGCCTGGGAACGTACGTGGGAACGTGAGATACAGAGAAAGGAAATTAGAAAAAGTGAGCGCTATTTTGTGCATATTTAGGAGGCGAAGGATAACAAAAAGGATTAGTTTTCAAGAAAAGACTTTCTTATTTTTTCCCCGCGGTATACTCGGTCGCGGTTTCTCACACAACAGAAGTGGCGTCACTCTCTTAAAGCTCTTCGCGCGTTGAAAAGCAAATGACACCTCCTTTAAAAAAATGAATAGATTTGGCATACTGTACACTAGTTGCTTCAATAAATAATATGGCTGCATAAATGATCGTTTCTGCGGAGCTGGCAAACACGCGGTACGACCACATTACGTCGAGCTTCTTCCTTCCCAATCACTAGCCCCCTCACCGCAACTGAGCGACGAAACACAGCTGTCCCTAAGCAGAGCGCGGGGATGGTAGGGCAGAAAGGACGATGTCGAAGAAGAAGCCGACATGAGAGAGGAAGAGGATGTCATCCCACTGCCTGCCTTGCCGTGCTCCGGTACACGACCCTGGAGTTCTTCCTCTTCAGAGCCCGCGTCCTCACTCAGCATGTAACATCGCTTGCGCGTCTCATATCCAGGGTCAATGCACTGTGGATGGTGCCGAAACCAGGCCGCAGGAGCCCAGCCTCTCGCCCGGAACGCTGGCCACACTTTTTTGAGAGGCGGGTCCAGGGCCTGACTGTCCTGCGCGACCATGGCGTCCACCTCCTCCAGTGCGAACCAAGACCCCTCCCGACTTACTGCGTCGTCCAGCCGCATCTCCGACTCGACCCATTCCGCCGCGAACGTAAACATGAGCTGGGAGCAGCCCCACTTCTTGCCCACGTCCTTCCGCTCCGTCAATGCCACCATCCCCACCACGCGGCAGGCGAAACCCGTCTCCTCCCTCACCTCCCGCACGGCCGCCTCGTCCGCCAGTTCTTTCAGCTCCACATGCCCGCCCGGCATCTTATAGATTCCTTTCGACCGTCGGCGGAAGAGGAAGACCTCCAAGCTCCTCGAGTCCCCTTCCCCCCTCGCCGCGACCCTCCCCTCTCCCTGACGCCTCCCACTCCCCTCGCCGCTCACATCCATCCCCATAGGTGCGGAGCCCTTCGAGTCTTGGTTAAAACCAGCCCGTCCTCGTCTCCGTGTTCTATAAAGAATGACTTTGCTGCGACAAATGTGCGTGCCCGCCGTCGGGACCTCCACCTTGACAAAGAGCCGCAGAAGCACGACCTGAGTCCCCCCCCCTCCAGCGTGATGGATCCGGTACCCGTCCTCCAGTAACCGCGCGATGATGCCAAAGTCGTGGCGCACGGTCACAAAAAGCGAGTCCAAACCCTCCGCCCGCACCGTTCCGTCCTCTCCCCGCCGGCCCATCTCCTCCGCCACCACCTCCAGCACGTTCTCGGCGTGCACGGCCCGTCCCAGCACCAAGTTCAGCTGTCCGTGCTGTAGGTCCCACCACCGGGCCTCCACAAGCTGTGCGAGTCCTAAGGCGCGCTCGTAGTCCCGCGGCCACAGGAAAGGCGGGTTCTGCACGTCCACCTCCAGGGGAGGGAGACCGAGCGGGCGCCAGTCGATTTGAGAGAGGTCGCTGAGCCCCGCCTGCTGATGGAGCAAGGTCGTGCAGGGGATCGCGTCGGGGCCGTGCCCGTTGCTTGCATGGCTGCCAGTGCTGCGGGCGATAGAGTCCACGGGATTGCCGCGCTCAACGCCAGCGGCCGAGTACACTGCCACACAGACGGCGGGCATGGACAGGGGGGACGACGCGCATGGCGAGGGGGCGCAAGGACTGCTTTCTATGACCAAGACAACAGCCTGTCCCTGCTCATTGCCATAGACGCTGTCGCTGCAGGGGCTGGCCGTGTCGCACCCATCGACGCTCTTCCTCCTCGAGGCCCGCGCTGCTGCCCAAGGAGAAGGCACGCCGACGGTCTCGTCCCTCTGCTCTTGCAGGAATGCGTGTAGCAATGCCTGGCCCTGGGGGCCATCTCCAGCTGCCAAGACATGCTTGCACGCGAGGACGCTTACTCCTTGCAGCAGACACTTGAGACTGAGGTCTGATTCCACTCCTCGCACCAGCTCTACAGCCGCTTCCCCAGAAGCTACTACCGTGATAGACAAGCTCGCAGCCTGGCTACCGCCCTTTTCCATCTTACTCTGTTGTTCCCTGAGATAGTTCAGAACCTGCTCTGCTCCAAAGCGTGGTACGATTGCCCTCCTGTTCTTGCTCATCGCGAGGTTCCCGGTAGTGGAACCCTCTAATTTGGTGTCTATACAGGCGAACAGGCTGTTCACGTCCACCAAAACTGCCTTCGGCCGCATGCAGTCAATCATTTATGTTTTCAAATGCTAAATTTAGCCGTTTGAGGACGTTGCGGTCGCAATTGCTTGGATGAGCGGGAGGACGCGTGGAGACAGGGGAAAGATGCTTCTTCCGGCGTCGAGTAGCGGATGCGAGGCAGCCGTGGCAAAGCGACAAAACACTCCTTTTCGAGAAGACGACAGAAGCTACAGCCCCTGTTCGAGAGAAGGAGTGGTGATAAGAAGGGGCTTGAGGGCGTAGAAAATGGAAAGGAGATAGGCTGTATATCAAGCAGGCAGGATGATAAACGGCGCGCCTCACAACTTGGGGGCTGAAGGATTCTGAGATGTCGTAGGAGTATATAATCGAGGCGGGAAAAGGCGCTACGGCGGGACATACGGGGAAAACAATTACACAAAGACCAAGGAAGAGAACATCGCGTGGAAACGGTGCTTGTGCATGTGCTGAACAGGCATGCTGGATATGCGTGTTTATGGCGCGCCTGATGCGGGCTCCACCTCCAGGGCCTCGCCCGATGTGCAGGCCTCGCGCAGTACTGTCCATGGCTACGAGTACCACGGCCAGGGGTACTGACTCTGCGGATTCGATCACTACGGAGCATAAGGGATACCCGCAGTACCTGATAGCGCGCTCCACCTTCACCATGTGTGATGCATCCTAGCCCTTTCGTCTTTGACTTTTCTACTCCCATCACTGCTTTCATCTCTTCAGGTGGTGTCCTTTCCTCGAGAAATTTCCACAGCCACGCGACGACATGGGGAAAAAACAGCATTCTAAGGACCGCATGTTCCTCACCGCTACGGAATGGAAGGAGCTTGGCGGGAAGCGGGAGGCTGCGGGGCGCTCGAGCTACCGACCTCTGGCTTTCGATTCGTGTGCGCTTAGCTTGCAGCCTTACGAGACGCCAGTGTGCACGCCTGAAGGCGTCTTGTTCGACATTTTGAACCTTTTCCCCTACGTGCAGAAGCACAAGAAGAATCCCATCACGGGGCACTCCATGACGGCCAAGGAGATCGTCCGCCTGACCATGGCCAAGAACGCGGAGGGGAAGTGGCACTGCCCCGTCACCTTCAAGGAGTTTACGGACCATACGCACGTGGTGGCGGTCAAGCCTTCAGGGAATGTCTACGCCTACGAGGCGGTGGAAGAACTGAATATCAGGCGGAAGAATTGGACGGATTTGATGACGGGTGAAAGCTTTACTCGGAAGGATGTAAGCAGGGATTGGAAGAGCAGTGGGAGTTCGAGGGAGGGATAAAAGGGGAATGGGAGTTCGAGGGAGGGATAAGAGGGGAACTCTAGCGAGTCACCAGCGCGTTTGGCTTGATAAAGCCTACGTCAGCAAGAGAAAAGCGTAGAAGATCCAGCGTCATGACTGAGGGCTCTCTGACAGCCTGGTTGAACGTGGTCGGCTGCTCATTCAGCACTCTCGACTGCTCTCTTCCTCCTTCCAGATCATCACTTTGCAAGACCCTTCAAACGCGGCGCACATGGCTCTTCGTGATATCAGCAATTTCAAGCATTTGGAGGAGGTGCGCGCGGAGGAGCAGGCCCGTGTGGCGGGAGCCTCTGCGGAAGAGAAAATCGCCAGCTCGATCAGGACCAACGCGAGCACCGAGATGGTCCTCGCAGAGTTCCAGCGGCAACAGAGGGAGCGGGAAGAGGCGGAAGCATTGCGAGCGGCGCAGGCAGAGGCGGCGGCTGTGGAAAGGGAGAAGCAGGAGGCGGAGGAGGAGGAAGAGCTCCGGAGGAAGGGGGGAGGGGGGGCGACCAAGAGACGGCGTTCGATTTTGATCGAAGACCTACATCCAGGGAAATCGGTGACGACTGGGAAGGCGGCCGCGTCCTTCACCGCCACGGGAGTGGATCTGGCCACCGGGAACACCTGCCGGACCGCTACGGAGGAGGAGACTAGGGAGGTCCGCTACAAATTTGCGCGAAAGCTGGGAAAGAAAGGGTATGTGCAGCTCCAGACATCGCTGGGCAACCTGAACCTGGAGATCCATTGCGATTTCGTCCCACGGACGGCGGAGAATTTCCTGGGCCTGTGCCTGCGTGGATTCTACGACGGACTGTCCTTCCACCGGGTCATCAAGGGGTTCATGGCGCAGACGGGATGCCCACAGAGAAAGGAAATTAGAAAAAGT